TGCTTTATTCAAAAACCAGTTAGTTAAAAGTGCTTTGGAGGGCATCTGAAACTTTGTCTCTGGCATTTGTGTCCGTGCAGTTATCTCATTTGGGTGTGTCTGCCTAGCTGCCAAATCTGGGAAGGTATGTTTGTCAGGGTGGTGGGAGGGCAAAGGGTGGAGGGAGCTGTGGGCTCCTGCAAGGCAGATTGCAATTCTGTGCTTTGTCAAGACATTTGTTGAGGGTTTTAGTACAGCTCACCTGTCAGTGCCAGTATCTGAGGTCGTTCTGTCCACCTCTCTGCCTGGCCTTGGCTGCTGTTACCCACATCCTTTCCTGGAATTCACACCACTAACCAGCAGCTGTTACTATATTGGGCTTTTGACCTCCTGAAAATGGGGTCTCAACCCTTTCTGTTCCCACTCAAGCAACTCAATTCTCAACTGAAAAAGTAAAAAAAAAAGGGGAGGGGGATAAGGTAACCACTGAAGAAACAACATTTGCATTTCAAAAATTAATCAACTCAAAAAGCCAACATCCTGTTTTGTCTTGGCTTTACACACCAGGTCTGACACTTGGCAGTCCGACAGGAAGCGAACGTGAGCAGCGTTTTTCTGTGGGAAACTCTCTTTTTGAACCCACCCTTTGCTAAGTGTGCCTCGAGCTGTCTGCCCGTGGCCCTCAGCACTAAAGCAGCGCCGTGGACGCCGAGCCTCACCCTCTTCTTCAGGGACTTATCAGCAGGAAATGAACTCAGCTGGAACGCTTCGTACCAGTGACATTTTGGTGCTCGGGTCCTGCAGCTGCAGCGCTTCCGAGAGCATAGACACACAAACACACACGTGCCAACACCCACACGGACACACGGACACACGGACGCACGGACCGGCGTGCCAGGCTCTCTGCACCCCTGGGAACTGATGTCAGTGGGAAAGTCCCCTTAACCAAAGGGACTTAAATGGAAGGACGTGGCTCTGAAGTGGCTCTCACTGAGCTGAACTTGAATGTGAGTTTGTGTGTTTTTCGTGGTGACCACATAAAAAAGTAGGTGTAGAGGCTAACTTAAAAACTGAATAATTTCACGTGCTCCTGACTGTCAGCTGGCACCTGAGCAGTGACATCGTGGTTCAGACTAACCCGGCTTCTTAATTAGGGCTTCCTAATTGCCAGGTTCTGGGCAAAAGCCTGTCCCTAAGCAGAGTAAAGGTTAAAAATGCTGTGTGGCACAGGAAGCATTTCACCTTGAAATAATGAGATCACAGTGAGGTGGATCACCCTGGTCCCACAGGGGCTGGTGGGTGGAGTTCAGATAAAGGGTGTCATGTCTTGCAGCACCTGAAAGTTTTTGGAGAGCTCTTCTTTCTCCTGATCTGCTTGACTTCAGAGAACACACTGAGCTGGGGTGTTAAGAGGCACGGCTGCATCCCATTGTACTCACATAGTGATGGAACAAATATTATCAGCATGAGCCACTGACAGCTTGCTTCCAGACTGAGCAATTCCTCTATAGTTACTAGTTTTAGTACACCAGGTTTAATATAAATCAAACAGAACCAGTCAGAACAGTTCTCAGGCCAGTCCTACTGCCCATCTCTCAGTGTCCTAGAAAGCAGCATCTCAAGCAGTGGCCCTCGCCAGCAGCTTCCTCAGCATGCAGCCCAAGCTCTGACTGAACAGGATTTTCTGACTAAAAATGGAACAATATTTCTGGTCCCTAACAGGTTGCACCCAGAGGAAGCTTGCCTTGCCACTGACTGTGTGCAGTGTTAAAAAAATAAAAGGACTTTTGGCTGAACACCAGGCCAGCGCTGTAATAACTTTGCCTATCTTCTAAAAAATACACCAAAGAGTCAGAAGCTAAATCCCCAACTGAGGTAATTCAGGAAGTTTGAGGGTGAGAACAAATAAATGTCTTATGCACAAGCATGCAACACCTCTCTGCTCAGCAAAGGTCTGTGCTGTGTGCCACTTGTAGCAGCAGCAGGGCTGATACCTCCTCAGGAGAGAATCTAACCAATATTTTTAGAAACAATTTGCATGGTTGGTCTCATGTGGCAGCAAGCATTGGCACTTCAAAGCACTGAGCACTTCAGCTTTTGCCAGAGCTGACTCACAGGTCAGTCTCTTCTGTCACAGGCAGCGGCAAGTGACTTTAATCACCCCGGCAAGTGACTTGAATCACCCTGGCTGTCATTTGGATGCGGGGAGCGGGCCTGGCTCAGGAATCAAGCGCTGCACACACAGCCCCCGAGTGTTATCTGGACACAGAAAGGTTTCTGTTCACGGACAGACTGCATGACCTAGACAGGAAGCCTGGAGCAGAGCACAGCCAGGCTGTGTCTGAGGAGAAAGCGTGCCCAGCCCATGCAGCAACCAGGCTGGCTGCAGAGAGAGCTGGCTCAGGGAAAACCAGCTCTGAAGAGGGCAGACAAAACAGGACACAAGCCAGGATGACAAAATGACACAATGCCAGGATGGAAACCTTGCCCACTTTCTGGCTAAAATACATCTTCTCCAGGGACACAGCCTGAAGCCCATCACATATAAAACACACTGAAATTGTGATCATTCCGTGAACTCGACCTTGGAGGAAGTAAACTTGGCTCCATTTATGGTGAGATGTTACTGTCTATTTACTGGCTTTTAAATGCAGTGAAGCACATGATTTGGAAAGGAGAACTAGTAGTGCCTACCAATACTTTCTTGACCCTGTTATGCAAGGATGCTGAGAGCCCCTAGACAATATTGCAGCACAACAGAGAGAATCCTTCTCCTTTCTCTGAGATCTAACTGAGGAAGTGAGAGAGCCCAGGGGCTGCACATCAGGGGTTTAGAGCATCCTTTTTTTTCCTTTTCTCTATGAAAATTTCAGTTTCTCCTGAGCATCTCCAGGAGAAGGCAGCAGCAGAAGGCTCCATGTGACCTGGAGAGGAGGCAGGGATCTCTAACCATGCTTTGCAGGCAAGGAGAATACTGGAGGCAAAATTATTTTGTTCTGCTTGTACAGAACAGCAGATAAATAGCAGGGAATGGATGGGTGGTGTGTTTTCTTTGCTGAGTTCAGCCCAACAGGATGATCCATCTGGCCTGCCATAAGCTGTGGGTGCTGTGGGGCACCTGGTGGTCACAGGGCAAGTTAATTTGGCTTTCTTAGTGCTACATTGCTCTTTACATAGTGTGGACATACTTGGATCCAGGTGGAAACATGAAAACCAACCATTTTTTAGGACCACTTGAATCAAGTAATACCCAGTTTAAAGCATCTCTTCGTACAAATCTTTATAAGGTTACTGAGCACAAAGTGATGAATAAAATAAGCTAAGTGTTTATTTGGGTAAGGAATGCTTGGAAGAGCCTTCAGTGGAAGGTGGAATGGTGTTCAACTAACAAAACCAAGCCTTGCAAAGGCAAGGGCTCTGCCATACACCCTGCAGTGTGCAAGAGGTAACACCAGAGCTCTGCCTAGTGGCAAATCATTCTGTGGGCTTTGTGGCCCAAAACAGATAGTCACTGGTGCTGTGATTAAAGGATAAGGTTTTCCCAAGGGAAGGCTGGGCCTCAAACACCTGTGGTGGCACAGAACCAGCCATTGAGACTGATTCAGCAGTGGACAGGGATAGCGGGGCCGATGGTGCCACCCCTTGGATTGCAGAACCGAATCATTCTGGCTGGGAAAGAACTTCAGGATGGCCGAGTCCACCTGTTAACCCAGCACGCCGTGCTCACCATCGAAGCACGTCCTCAAGTGCCACATCCACGCGGGTTTTGGACACTTCCAGGATGTGACAGACTTCCCCAGGCGCACAAAGCAGGGCCGGTGCCAGGGGCCGGCTGCTGCCGGGCAGCGCGTCACTCTGAGCCCGCAGAACGGGACGGGGGTGCCGGAGGGGGAAGACTGGCTCGGCACAGGCGGGAGCCGCCGGGACATCTCCAGGACACCCGCGGGACATCTCCGTGACACCCGCGGAACATCTCCAGGACACCCGCGGGACATCTCCGGGACATCCCGGGACATCTCCAGGACACCCGCGGGACTCGGCGGGGACATCCCGGGACATCTCCGGGAGCCGCGTCCCGCCGGCGCCCCCCGCAGGCCAGCGGCGGCGCTGCCACCGCCTTCCCTTCTTCCCGCGCTGGCGCCTCAGGGAAACGGGATTGTCCGGGAATTCTGTGGGACGAGGTCCGAGCAGGCCAACAGTGGCATGCTGGCCTGGAGCAGGAATAGCGTGGCCAGCAGGAGCAGGGCAGGGATTGTCCCTGTGTACTCGGCCGCACCTCCAGTGCTGTGTCCAGCTCCGGGCCTCTCACTTCGGAAAAGGCCTTGAGGGGCTGGAGCGAGTCAAGGGCAGGGTCTGGAGGCGAGTGTTGTGAGAAGCGGCTGAGGGAGCGGGGGGTGTTCGGTCTGGAGAGAAGGAGGCTCAGGGGAACTCACTGCTCTGCAGCCGCCTGAAAGGAGGGTATGGCCAGGTGGGGTTCGGCCTCTGCTCCCGGGAACGAGTGACAGGATGGGAGGACACGGCCTCAAGCTGAGCCGGGGAGGTTCAGGCTGGGCCTTCAGAGGAATTTCTTCACGGAAAGGGTGGTTAGATACTGGGATGGGCTGCCCGGGGAGGTGTTGGGGTCATAGTCCCCGGAGGTGTTCAGGGAAAGGCTGGCTGTGCCACTCGGTGCCGCGGCCCGGGCCACTCGCTGGGTCACAGCCTGGACCCGGCGATTTTGGGGTCTTTTCCACCCATTCGGTGACGCACAGCACGGCTCCCATTGGCTGCCGGGCTGCCGGTGACTCCGCCCCCTCCGCGCCGCGCTCTCGGGGTTGTTTACAACGTCTGCGCTCATTGACCCGCCTCAAGCGGCTCTCATTGGCTGAGGACCGCCAGCCTCGCAAGCCTATTGGCTGACAGCGGGGGTGGTGGCTCGTCCCTCCCGAGGTTGTCGCTCATTGGCTCGGAGGGGAGGGCAGCGCTGCTTCTATTGGTGAGGCAGAGCGAGGCTCCGCCCCTCGCGGCGGGTGGGCGGGCGCTACGGGCGGGCCCGGCAGTCGGTGGCCGGCGCCGTGCGGGGCGGGATGTCGCGGTCCGCGGCTGTGTGGGGCGCGATGTCCGTGTCCTCCGCGATGGCGCGGCTGCTGCTCCTGTGCGCCGCATCGGGGTTGCTGCTGGCGGCCGTGGCGGCCATCCCGCCGCCGGAGGAGGCGGCGCGCATGGCGCGCTACGTCCTGCACAGCTGCGACTGGGGCGCGCTGGCCACGCTGTCGGCGCAGGAGGGGCTGCGCGGCCGCCCCTTCGCCAACATCTTCTCCCTCAGCGACGGCCCGCCCGGGCCCTGCGGCGGCAGCGGCGTCCCCTACCTGTACCTGACCGACATGGAGATCTCCGTGCAGGACCTGGAGGTGAGCGGGGCCGCGGGAGGGCGGCGACGCGGCGGGTGCGGAGCGGCCCTGCGGAGGACAGCCGGAGAAGCGCGCGGGGTACTCAGGGCACCAAGGGGTGATCGCAGCGCAGCGTGACAGCGCTGCTTCGCAGGGCCACGGGATTGCTCTGGAGATCCTGCAGCCCAACCCCGTGCCACGGCAGGGTCACCTCGGGAAGGTGACACAGGAAGGTGTCCAGGTAGGGCTCTGCGGAGAGGGAGACTCCGGCACCTCCGTGGGCAGCTGGTCCAGTGCCCTGCCACCCTCAGCGAAAAATTCTTCCTCATCTGTGTTTTGGTTTATGGCTGTTCCATGGATGTCGCCCCGTTTGACAGCCCTGGGGACAATTAGCCCTTGAGCAGTGCTGTCTGTAGTGACAGCCAGGAGAAGTTCCTGCTGATCGTGGTCTTGAGACAGAAAGGGCAGCACCAGGCAGAGGAGGTGTCTGCAGCTTCCAGAAGCACTGAGCAAAGAAATGAGGTGCCACAGAATATTTGAACATTTGAAAATTTCACACACAAAACAGTCAAAAGGACTGGAACTTGTCAGTGTAAGACCTAAGCAAAGAGAATTCTTCCAGAGCCTGCTGAAGGAATAGTTATTAAATCTCTGGTGCTTACCGTAAAGGGAAGCACACCTGGAAAGGCAGTGTTGTCATGCTGAGAATCTGAGTGTGTAATTTGCCATGTACCAGAGCTTTTGTGGCGAGCAGTTTGCTCAAAACTTAATGAAATAGTGGTTGTATGCCTCCTTTATTTTGTTTGTTTTAGTAACTTAAAGTATTAGCTAGTCAACACAAAATAATGGTAATATTTCAGACTGTTTTCTCATTTTTTGTTTGTTCCCTGTCAGACTTTAGTTTGTTACCTTAAAATAGTTTAATTATACGTCTGAGTGCTGTAGAGAGTCTAATTTATTTTGCCTGATACCTTTCTTTCCATCCAGATACAGCTGTTTGCTTTCAAATAACGCAAAACCCACGGTATAAACTGGTAATGAATATTTCCTTCAGAAGGCACCTCACAGGTCCTTATTTTGCTGCTTCAGGGCAGAAACTCTTGGCACGTGATAGTCACAGGCAGGGGAGAAGGTGCCAAATAATCGTGAGTCAGCTTTTTGGGAGTTAAGCAACTTCCTATCTCTCAAGTGCTTGCTTCTGTTTCATGAGGTCACCGGTGCTCTCCGAAGTGTCCAAGTGACTGTGGAGGGTTTCTCTTGGACATCAGTCCTTCTAATGAAACTTCTCAAAGCAGGGGAACTTCCCTTACTGGGAGATAATGACCCCTAGGACGTGGCATTCTGCAATCCTGTTTGGCACCAGTGCTTTTCAAGCCATGGTCACCAAATTAGTTTTTAGAAAAACAATCAGATATGGGTTCTTGAATTCTTCAAGTTAGGTGTTTCACTTAAATATTTAGATTTTTTTTTTTTTTTAAATCTTACTTCTAAAATTCACTTTAAATGCCAAAAGAGGTGTTTGGGAGAGCTGGGAGGCTGTTTTGAAGAGATGTTTGTTTTTGTTTTAAGTAATTTTAGCAACAGTTGTGAAGCTGAGTTGGTTGCCTTCTCAGTAAGACTTTTCCCTTCCACCAGAATTTACCTGATGATGTTCACTGTATGTCCTTGTTGTCTGTACTGTCCTTTGTGTCTGTAAATTGTAATATATCATCATTTGCATGTGAAATAGGCGGGCTGAATTCAGAGTTTTAAAGAGTTTTATTCTGTGATGTTTGCATTTTATGTTAACAAGTTTCAGCACACCTCTGAACTGGGCTTTATTTCAGATTCAGAGCTCACCCAAGGAGCCTTTCAGATGTAGTTAGGAAAAGGTGATGACAGCTCTTTTTGCCAGTATTACTGAGCTGAATAAAGTACCAAGAGCTGAAAATGTGGTGGGTATGACATTTTTTTTCACATAAGAAAGGTAAGCCTAAACCTCTTCTCTTACTTCTTGCATTTCAGGTCAATTCAAACGCCTCCTTGACTGTGTCTTTGGCACAGACTCCTTACTGCAGGAAGCACAGATATGATCCCCAGAACCCCCTCTGTGCCCACATCATCTTCGTTGGGAGCATTGTAAAGGTAAGGAGCTGAAAGCTGACACTGGGCAAGGTTGTGTGCATCAAATACAGATTTGTTTAGTGGAGGGAGAGAAGAAAGGTGAGAAATTCTGTGCAGAAGCATATGCTGAGGTGTTCTGTGCTGTGATACCCAAAGGCCTGCTCGTAGTTTGTGTGAGGAAAAAAAAGTTAACCCTTGAATTTTGCAGGAGCTCTGTTGACATGCCTCTAGCAAGGAATTTGGGGAGACAGTAATGCAGATCTCCCTCATTCCTGTCAATGTGTTCTGAAACTAAGAAGTCTGAGGCCATTATTTTGGAAAAACCTTCATATTTCATTCCCATCTCTCTTGCTCAGTTAAATTCTTTGGTTCAAGCAGTGTGACATGCCTGCTTCTGAAACTCTGCTGAAATAAATACTAACCTGAGCTACAAAGTTGCAGGTATTACAGCCAAAAAGTGTGCCTTGTGTGATCTGGTGGCCTTGCTGCCAGGGCAGTGTTCTTTTGTGCTCCAGTACTTTGGTGTCTTGTAGGAGGAATTGAGAACTGCATGTGTTATTAATTGAAGATCCTAATCCTATTATTGGGGTAATGATTGAGGATGAGAACTAGTCATCACTACTCTTTGTTACGTGTCTCAATTCGTATTTGGTGTTTTCACAGCTCTGATATTTGCACATTGCACTCAGCAGTCTTGTAGTTGCTTTCTTGAGTTTCTCATTAATGATGGAGTTGATTTTATTTAGGTGGTTTTTCTTATCCTATACCCAGAGCTCTAAACTGTTGATTTCACCCTTTAAATATCTGCACATTGTATATTAAGTGCCATCACACTTTTCAGCTACCCTTCTCTGTAGATTGTGTTGTACCCTCGTGTTTGTGTGTTTGCAAATGTCTCAGCACAGTTGTATCTGTTTCTGTCAGTTTGAATGAGCAGGTGCAGAGGAGGTGAAATTACGCCTTAGACATCACTTTTATAATAATTCACCTAGCATCCATACTTCTGTTTTGTGGTTTGTTTGAAGATTTACCCTTATGTTGATGAAATACTCTCTTGCTCTCTCTAAAAGCAGCATTTTGATTTAATGTTGAAATCCACTGCTTTGTAAGTGTTGTCTGCCTCACGCAGTTGCACACCACACTGAAGATGAGCAGCCTCAGCCACAGTAATGAGCCCCTTGGGACAAGACATGGCTGGACTAGAAAAACCACACTGCAGTCAGCAGTGGTTTTTTAGCTAAAACTCATCTTTACATGACTATCTTATTGTAATGTTTTCCTGTTTTTTGTTTAGGTGAATGATTCAGAAGCAGACTTAGCCAAAAAAGCATTATTCAGTCGCCACCCTGAAATGGAAAGTTGGCCCAAGGATCATAATTGGTTCTTTGCCAAATTCAACATCACCAATATTTGGGTCCTGGATTACTTTGGTGGATTGAAAATTGTGACACCAGAAGAGTACTACAGTGTCAAGCCTTAGTAAGTACTGAAGTTTTTCATGGCTAACTCTCATTATATTTCACATCTGTACACTTCTTGTTGTTAACAAGGAGGAGTGCCTCCTGTAGAATTGGCACTGTCACTGTCTTCTGTTTGAATTCATTGCAAGACAGATGATGTTTTGGTCTAATAATTAATAGTAGTGAGACTCTTCAGCATTTCTGAAGCTGTATTAATGGGATTGCAGCAAAGAAAGAAAATTGCTGTTGAATCTGTCCTTATGATTTTGAAGCGTAGAGGAATTGTCTTCTATTGTCTACATAAAACCAAGTCTTCAAAACTTTCAGATATATTTTAGCACAGTCAGCATGAATTATGCATTCATTTCACTCTTATTCTTACTCCTTGTAGGTGGAAGAAGATCCTTGGTGATGCTGATATGAAAATGAATGACTTTGCCTGTTTTCATGAAAGATTTATTTTTTCTATGTAGTGTAGAGCTGAGTTAATAATATCATAAATCAAACACCTTGCATTGTTAATGAGCATGTATTACCCTTATGAAGCAGACTTAACTTCTCACTAACTTGAATCATGTCACAATGAAAAACCTTTGTGCATAAGCAATAACTAAATTTTATTCACTGGATGTGAATTTGGAAGGGTGTCTGACAGTGTGCATTCAGAAATGTGTTTACTGGAATCTAAAAAATTAGTCCAGCTCTAAAGTGCCTTAGTTAAATAATGTTTCTGAGCACTTTCCAATATTATTTTATTTTTAATACCAGTTTAGTTTAGAATTTTATGGTGAAGTTCTACAGGATGGCTCAGCTGATGGAATGGAAAGCATTGCCTGTATTACAGTAGCAAATGACATGCTGAGTTCCCAAATCCTGTTAAGAATTTTCTCTGCACGCTGATAAACTCACTTTTTTGAGCCATTTTTCTGTTTTATTGAATGTGCTGTAGAATACAGTTGTGTTCATGCCAGCTGTACCTATACCTCAGGATGAGTTCTTGGTAATTCCTCGGCTGATTATGTGCCCTGACTCTGTAATAGAAGCAGACCAGTAGTACCTAAAATATCTGACTCAAGAAGAGTAGATAAATTCTGTCTTGTCAATTCAGTGAGAGTGTTGTGAAGGATAAATGTTTTCTGATTGAGATTCTGAAACACTCAGCTTTGTTAGTCTGATCAAATGGCAATTCTTCAGCTTTTGTTCCCCTCAACAGCAGAACTGAGCAGATTTTGGGGTCTGGAAGCCTTCAAGAGCAATTTTGGATTAGTAACCCAGAAGTGGAAAAGAAGCAATACAGTTTGACACAAATGATTCGTGATTTCTAGAGAATGAAAATTAATGAAAGGTGTGCTTAATTAATTCTGTGTTAAAGTAATTTACACCCAACCACAAAAAACCCCTTTTTTAACATCCTCTCCAATCTGATGTGTGCTGAGTTCACCAGCACTAAAAAGTATTTATGAAGAAACAAGTTGATTTTACAGTGAGCAAATATTACCTAGTTGACCTAGAGTAAAGAATTTAGACTCCTTAGAGGAGGTTGATATATAGAACAGTGGGATTTGTCATGTAAGATCCCTATATCTTAATGTTGTTGTTATATCACTCCTTTTCTCAGATACTGGGATGATTTGTGAAAGTATTTTTTATGTAACTTATTAAGAGTTCTTTCTTCATAAGGGGAAGAAAGCCACTTGGTACTGTTCTACTGTTCTGTTCTACTATTTTAAGACTAATTTAGGATTAAAAAAAACTTAGAATATAGAAACCATTTCTATTGAATAGGTAACACTGATATTTAATGTGAAATTGAAAAAAAAATTATATAAGGTACGACAGTTGTGAAAACTCAACTCAATCTCTGTCATGGACTCCATACTTTCTGTGAGGACACCTGAACGCATTACACGTAACCCTGTAACTTCTGATGTGTGAGACTGATGATGCTGGGCTTTTGTTAAAATTAAAATATTTTTTTGATGAGTGGTGTCAAGCATTATTTATTGCATGTCCAAGAATTATTCTCTCCCTCCTGTTCTCTTTCATATAAGCACTTTCTTTTCAGTGTTCTTGTTTTACTGTTTCTCTGATATCTTTCATTCTTGCTAGAATTAATGAGGAAATGTCCCTACTTACACCTGCCTTCCCCTCCTTGGATTAAATCCATGTCTTTGTGCTTCACTTGCTTTCCTGCATCTAATGCCATGAAATGAAAAACTCCAAAGACAAATGGCATCATTCCACACATCCCCAACCTCCTTCTTCCACCAGCTGCTTCTGCACCCCCAGATTCCATGGCTGGTAGGCCAGGGTGAGAAGCAGGAAAGGTCTTGACATTGCATAAACAATAAAACATTGGTGTGTTATCAAGGCTGTTTTAAGCCCCAAGCAAGCTAAGGCAAAAAAACCCCAACCACAAACCCCAAATCTCCATCCCAGCCAAAACCGGTACACCACTTTGAAAAGTACTGCTTTCACTTGAGGGTTTGGTGTAGAATAAGGCTGCCTTTGTTTCTGGTTTTCTTCTCCTTTTACTATCAGTTCCCCAGTATTTCCTCTTTGGAAGTAGAAGGGCCTTTTTTTGGTAACAGTAGAGATCTTAAAACAGTTTTATAATGCTGCTGCACCAACTGTAGATCATCCAAATCTCTTCACCTTTGAACTTTCGGAGGACCCCAGCCAGATGTTTCTTTGGGAAAATGATGAACAGCAGACTGGTTAAGCTACACGTACAGACCTGGATTTGAGGGTCAATTAGAGAAGAGCTCTGGAGCTGTATCTGTGCATCTCACTGAATACTTTTTGGTGTGTTTTAGTACTATGAAGTAGTGGAATGTAAAGCAGTTCAGGTTATCAATCTTCTCCCTCAGTAATAGGCGTGTAAATGTTTATGTCACCAACCCAAGAAAATCATCAGCTTGTCCTATTTTTCCTCACCTCTTTTCCCTGTGCTCACCTTCGTTCTGTTCAGCTCATTCAGGAATTCGTTTGTGAGCATGTTTCTTTTTTTCCTGACACCCAGGAGTAATAGAACTCTGTGGCTTAGAACAGAAGAGGCTGAGTATAATCAGTTGGTACAGCTGTAAGAAATGAATCAGTGTTTTGATTTCTGTGTGTATCCTCTGCCAGGGCATGCTTGAAGTACCTGAGCATATTCTCAACAGCAGTGTAGTCAGCCTTCCCAGCTGGGAGGCACCTGCACTCACGGGAATCTGACACAGGATATCTGCAGGCACCTCACTAAGCCACAGGATGTTGTTTAGCTGGGAATCTAATAAGGGTAATCACCACCTGTCAAGTTCTACTTCCTACTACATGTTCTTCCTTCTATTGATCTTGCTTATTGACATGTTTGTGTTTCTACTGCTTGATTTTCGATTTGTTTCTTGTGTTTTAAATGGAGGACTTGTGCTCAGTATCTTAAATATATCAGGTATATATATTATAAATTATTAATCCTTTATTCAGTTCTCTCTGGAATTAATTTCTTAGCTGTTTAATATGGTGCCTGTGATCTTCACAATAGAATAGAGGTAGCTCGATCAGAGTATCAGACTAACACAAAAAGTGTTACTTGTAACTTAATGGATTAATTTGTTTGCCAAAGGTTTTTCCTGAGCAAAAGCATTGAATCGAGATAAAATCCAATAAAGTGATATATTGTTGTTGAACACAAGAGGGTGCCACAGACTTACATTCGGCTGGAGTGTTAAATGTTTAATACTTAAAAGTGGTTATTGAATTCATCATAACTCAAAGATGCTGGAAAAGCAAACGACGGGGGCATAATATGAACAAATTCTTTTTCTACAGTGCTTTACATTATGAATTCTTCCCTCCATAAACACAGCAGCCTGCTGGCTGCAAAAAGAAAAAAAAAGGAGCATTCATCATTTTTTTTGTGTTTTGTAATCATTTTGTGCTACAGAGAGCTCAGAAGTAATATCCATGAAAATGATTTAAAGGTTTTTAAATTAAGTAACTCTAGTAAAGGAAATGGAGACAGGTATAGAAATGCCTCGGAACATCGACTGGGAGCAGCCAGCTCCAGACTCAACAATGTTTATTTCTGTCAAATCCAGAGAGAGGGGGTACCTTAGTGTGACCATGCTTCTGCTTAGGCTTATTGTGAGCTGAATTAAACCCCTTGACTCTTATTTGTAATTTCCAACAGCTAATTAATCTTGGGTTCTTCAAGTGCCCCCAGGCTGTTCTCCAGTGGCTTGGGCTGCCCTGATGATGTGCAGGTGTTTGGGTGATGAGGCAGAGCTGGGAAAAGCCTGAAGCTCCTTTTTCCACGAGGGCTGTGTTAGAGATCAGGCTCTTTTTGCTTGTTCAATCCCACTGTGTTGGCCTTAAACCTGACTGGAGTGTGGTTGACCCTGGTTGCTGTCACCAACATCTGCTCTTCACCAGGTACTGGTGTGGGACTGCTTATTTTGGGGTTGAGACCACTGCCCTGCCCTCCTTGCCAGCTCCTCTGCTTGGGTGGAGCATCCTTGGTTCTCTCTAATAATTGTATTTTCTCTGCTAGGGAGCTCAGCCCTTGAGTTTCTTATGCAAGCCTCTTGCAATTTTTCTCAGGGCTTTTTGACTTAGTTTTTGTGTTTAGAGGCTTCCTCAGAGTTTCTAAGTTGAATTGCTGTGTAAAAAGATTAGGCTGTATTAATTCGGGGTGTAGGGGTTAATGTTCTTCACAGCTTGGTTTTCTGATGAAAAAAAAAAAGCTTAGGTAACATTTCTGGGTATTTGCCTTTGTCAGATTTGTTTTTACTTTGTTGGATTCAGATTTGAAATGGGAAATCTGACCTCAAAGCTAGCAAGCTCCTATAAATGTCATGACAACTGTGAGCTGGGGAGAGGAAACCAGCCCCAGTTCATGTATATTAAAGGTACAAAAGTAATGTTTTGAAAATTTGAGTTTCATTAGTTGTGCTGATTGTAGAGCTGGAGTATTCTGGTTGAGTGTGACCAGGTATGCAGTTAGTACCAGAAAGGGTGCAATTCTGTTTTGTTTAGGGGATGGTAGGCTTTAATCAAAGAACCCGATTGCTGTAATGATGACTCTGAGTTATTTTCTTCCTCTGGCTCTTAATATCCTACATTTAAAAGCCTCAAAAAATCCCCATTACTATTTGCTTCTGATTCCTGCAGCTGCTTGGCTTAGTTTTGCATAGAATTTCTCCAGTTTAAACAAAAGAAATGCCACATTTCTGCTGGTGGGCCCAACAGCTGCTGTGGGTCTTGTAGAAAGAGGAGAGTCTCTCCCTTGACTTGGTAGTATTGCCAGTGTATCCACACTGGTCTAGAACCACTTCATGTTATTTTTGCTGCTGTCACTGACTCAGATTGAAAATTTATTTGCGTGATTACTTTTCCCTTCCCCTTACCTATAAAAATATAAATACCAGTTTGCAGCACTCATATAAAATATTTGTAACTCATCTTGATACCCTTAGATGACAGGAATGCTTTGTTTGAAGAATAAGATTACTTGTTTTTAATCTGTGAGTAATTAATTTTAAGGCTTTTTTGATAAATCTGTGATTGCTACAAGCACAGAGTAATTTGACAAAACCAAACATGGATGTGTGTGTGTGCAAAGGGAGACAGAGAGAGTGTCAAGAAATAGGATGTAATTGCATATCTAAGCATGTATATTTATGTGAAAACATTGAAGATAATTTGTTTTTCTGCAATGTTTTTATGCCAATGGAACCTGTTAAACATCTTCCAATGTTAACAGGTAACTTTCTAGATTGAAAGGTGGCAATTGTTTAGAGATAAGAAAGAAATAGTTGCACAAACCCTGCATTGTATGACTATAGAAATATTGCACACTAATTTCCTGTTGTCTTTTAGCCAAAAAATGGTTGCCTAATCAAGCATGAATTGGATTTTTTATTTGTTTTAAATGCTTAAATGAATTTCAGTTAATTAAGTTTTTCCTCGGGCAAGCATTTCAAACATGCAGAAGAGATGTGTGTTAGGGGTAAAGAGGGGAGTAGAATAAAGGAGAAGTAGATACTTGCCACAGACCTTAAAAACCCTCACAGTATTTTTATATTTATAAAAGGCATAACCTGATAAGTCATCTTCTGTACAGCCATGCAAGAAAATACTGAAGGTGTTCTACAATTAAAAACAGCATTTTGAGCATGTGGGTAGTGAAAAAGTCACAGAATTTTTCTACATATACTGCAATGTAATTGGGGAAATTCACCTGCAATTAACAGGGTTGTTGATGATGCCAGAGAGAGTAGCTTGAGTAACTGAAAAGAAAAGAAGCACTGTTCCTCCTCCTTAAAATATGACATAAGCAGTGGTCTCTTGAGTGCATTAAGAACAACAAAATCCAGAGCAGATCATAAAGGTGTCACTGGGGAGGGAAAAATTGGATATTACAGATTCAGTAGTCTCAAAATTGAGCATTCAAAGAGGGTGCATTTTAACTTTCAACTAACAACTCCTTTATAGGTTTCCACAAACCCTGTTGCACTGAAGATTTTAAGACCGTAGCAGGAAAAAGGAAACTGCCAGTCACAAAAATCCCTGAAATAATGAATAGAAATATGTTTTTGCATTGCATCAGGGCCTGTTTTATAATCTCCCATAGGAAACATGCCTTCCTGGCCGTATTTGTCTTTGTGGTCCTGCACAGGTGTCCCTTTTTATGTTCGGTTGGGTTTTTTTTTTCTTGTTGCACGTGTCAGGGTTTCTATTTGCTCGATGCAGCTGCAACGAGTAGTGGCAGTCAGGTGGGTTTTCCTTGGAAAAGCAGTATTTTCATACACAAAGGGGAGCAGTTGTAGCAAGAGCAACTCCTTCTCCTTCCCTGTTAGGAGCTGCAAAGCAAGACCTGTGGTTAGACACTGTCTTCTTTCCAGCTCTCCATTTGCTGGCAAAAGTGCAGGGCAGGGACTAATCCTTTTGGAATGCAGCCATTACCACTAAATAAGTATTAATTGCTGCATTCCAAGGGGATTAGCACAGTTGAACCCAATTATAGCAAATCGAAGCTGCACTGTAAGGCACTACAGTGCATTGAGATGCAGTGAAGCAGTGTAGGACTGTCAGTCTCTAACATTTTATCAATAAAAATTGTGGGCTTATACACTATAAACAGCAGACCATTTCTTTTCAGTGTCTTAGTCTGAGTGGCATGCCTGGCTGGAAGCTACAGCTTGCTCACCAGTGAAAATTGTTGGTTTTTTTACCACCCATTATCTTTGTGTGAACATCTCAGAAACGTTTTTAATACTTGTTGAGTTAATTATGGCACTGCAAGCATCACTCCCTGCTGGACCAGGGGCAAGGCTCTGCAGTCTGTCTGGATTCTCACATCTCTGAAGTCGGCCAGCTCCTCCATCAGGTGATGTAGGAATTAATTTTGCCTGCAAGTGTTAACTGTATCAAATAGGCTTAGGAGAGCTCCTGATAACCGACCTGTTCTCAATCCCAGCAGTCTGCAGTGATGATTACAGGCATATCTCTGTGGTAGCAATACAGGAGCCAGAGGGCAGTGTGTAGTTATATATATTTTTTTAATCCTCAGCTTGACTGTGGTGTGGGTTTGTTTTTTTTTTTTTTAGTTTTCATTTATTTCCTGTAAAACTGCAAACCCTGCTGCTTTTTTTTTTTTTTATAGTACAGTCAAAGCATAACCAGTAAGCGTGAAAAGGGAATGCTTCTGGGAATGAATCAGCCCCTTGCATTAGAGCTGTTCCAGGATTTTTTGTGTCCAGAGAAAGGATGGCATATGGATGCACAGAACCAGTTGAATGTATGCCTTGACTACTTTATGAAAGACCTTATCCTTACGGATAATGAGCTGCACCTTAACCAGCATTAAACACACTGAGTTGTACTTGGGGACCACTTCAGTTCCCTGACCCATTCTGTTTCAGGAACCACAGATCAAATATTGCAGTCTTCCCAGTGCAGGTAATTCTTGAAAATGTACTTCCCTCCACCCATATGTTTAGATGAAGAGTCAAGTTTAGCTGAGAGCTTTTCTTAACACAGCAGGAAGGGTTTTATATTTCCGCTGTGGCCTTGTCTGTATTGAGAAAAATTGCTGCTGGTTCAGCTGAACGAGGGTTGGCATTCATTTCTAGTCCAGGGTTAACAAAGTCCTTACAATCTGACTGAAGTGAGTAAACCGAAACATCAGTATGGTTTAAACTGTTGGTAAAAGTGCACTTGCAACATTGGCCAATGCACGATGTGGGCAGGAGGTGCTGAAGTTTTTACAGTGCTGTGTAGCTCCTGGAGATGCAAAGACTAGAAAGGCTGAAAAGAAGGTGACACTCTAAGCAAATCATTCCTCATGGTAGAATTGCAAGCCTTATGAACACTGAAAAACTTTTTCCTAGAGAGGACACCACTTCCTCTTTACCTTTTCCTCTACTGCTTGTCTGCATGTGATTTGCATCTCTCCCACACCACGCTTGTTGTGAGAATAATCCAGAATACAAGCATGAGTGCTCTTCTGTATACTTTGATTATATTTGGATAATGATAAGCTTGCCTTAGTTCAAAAGCTGAGGGATGGGGAGGTGGGAATTTCTAGGGGCACTGTCATGCAAAGCCTTTTTCCGACTCTACCCACTCTTCCAAGTGAAGTCCATATACTCAATTTCTCTGACCTTTCCCTATCTAGACATCAAAACACACTGGCCCAACTGCTGCTCTCCCAGTGTGCCTACTGTTGCTATTAATCTCTCTTTCTTACACAGCTCTTCATTTCTTTTCCTTACCTTTGGCCTCAGCTCTTTATTCAAAGTGATAATTTGCTGGCTTTCTGCCGGAGGGAGAAGCTATGATCAATAACAGGAGGAGACAGAGGTCAGTGGAATAGTGATGAGCAGTGCCATCTGCTTCTCTGGAAACACCGTTACCCAAAAATATCAATAACTAGGATGATATTTCAGCTTTTGGATAAGGCATCAGTGAGATTGAGGCAGCCAGCAGTGAGAGCAGGGGTCTTTTTTCTGCTCACTAATTCCTTGTTTCAGCCAATCTTCTGTCACACAGAGATGTGGACAGAAAGGGCTTTATCCAGCTTGCACTGGAATATAGAACATGTAGCTGAGCACAGCCATTTCTGGGGCTAATGACACCTCGTTCAGGCTCAGTGCATGGCAGCTCTCCTGGGCTGTGCTCTGCTTTCTGCCTGGTGGTGTCAGAGCCCATCTCCAGCCTTTTCTTGGAGCTTTTGGGGTAAAGAGCCACAAAGAAAACCCTCCCCAGGGCTGGGAGAGAGCAGAGACTCAGCAGCACTGCCTGGATATCACTGAAGGTATGCTGCACTATTACACCTGGTGCTAGACTACTACTAGTGTCTAGTACTTTTGGTATTGACTGGCACAATATAGAATTATTCAATTAAAGGAAAAGACAGTTTTTATCATGTATTAGCCTTTATTACTCCAGACAGCAAGGTGAAGAATTTCTTCCAAGAACTTCAATTTACTTTGCCTTCAAAAGCCTTACTTTTTGTGTGCACAGGAGCTCTCATCCCGCCATACTTTAGGGAAATTTTTGTCACCTGTTTCTGAACCTCCTGGGGATGCGCATTTCTGTTTCTTTTCTAATAATTAGAGACAGGAGAAAAAAAAAATTGCATTGAGATGCTTGTACTTCCAGCCTGAGCTCTGATCCTCAAGTGCATTATTAGTATTATTGTTGTAAACATTAAACATTCAGTGATCTGTTGAGCCAGATGAATTTTGATGGGAGTGAGGCTGAGCTTTAAGCCTTTAGGTTTATTTAAGCTACATTTTCAAGCTTTTCTAGTTCACAGTTGTCTAATATGAACTTTCTTTTATTAAACAAAAAGTGAAAATTTTTATTTGCCTGCTTCCAAAAAGAGCACGATAATGTGAGATTTCTTACAAAGCAGGAGTAAGAAATGAGATTTATATCATTATGAGTTTAGACAGCTATATTGTTCAAAAGTGACTATAACTTACAGTTTTATATTCTATTTATGCTCTGTGCTGCACACTGGGAATAGCTGCATAAACCCCTTTTTGAAGTCAGGTCAAATTTGATACCAGAAACAGAGACCAGCAGCCGCCGAGTGGGGATGATCTAGGAACCATCAGACAAAGTGGAAAAAAAAACCCAACTCACTGAAAACCATCTTGCCGAGAGGAAAAGGATGAATAACAAAGGAAACCCCAAACATCAATACCAAGAAGGCAAACCCCAGCCCTCACTCAGAGCCTGTGAAGGCAGAGGAAGCCGGCAGGTGGACTCCGAAAGCCCTCATAGGAGACGAGCCTCTTCCTGTGGCGGCCACACACCAGCACAGCCCGTGGAGGAGCCTCTTCTTCTTCTTCTTCTCCTTCTTCTCTCCCATCCCCAGGACTGTCTGGCCCGGCAAGATGAAGTGGAGGAGGATCGCCATCCTTGCCAGCCTGCAGGCCCAGCTCCCAGCCACAGGTAAAGGCGGGCTTTGGGTTTGTGAGGGGTTCCCGTAAAGCTCTTTTGAGGAAAGGGTGCGGCGTTTCTGTGGTGGATTCACCACCATTTTGGTGGCAGAGCGTGTCTGTGTAAGCACTTCAGCCATGTCTGCTCCCTGTGAAGGAGGAGAGGGACCTGCTGTGTTGAACTGGCCTGGAATAAAGAGCCCCTCTGGAAGGATGGGATGAGGGGCCCTTCTCCTGCTGGAGTGACGCCACAGCTGAACAGTAACTAAACAAAGCTCGGAGGCCTCACCTGGGCTGCTTTCCCTGCGATTCCAAAGGGGAGCTTTGAGGCAGTGATGGAAAAGTTGTCACTTTAAGTAAGCTGCATGGGAGAGGCTTCTCATGGCGTTGGGCTCCGGGTTTGTGGCCCACAGCAGAGCCGGCAGGCGGGAAATGGGGCACAGGTGGTGACAAAAAGACAGAGCCCTTCCCCTCACGTCCCTGCCTTCTGCTCCTCTCCACCAGACCCAGCACAAAATGAAGCCGTTTCTTCCTTTGTGTTATTTATTTGTGTGGTGCCCAGGCCTGGGCACCGAGCAGAGCAGCTTTGGTGTGTACAGATCTTCCAAAGTCACGTTAAGTTTGAGAAGGAGGAACTTACTTTTTAGGAACATAGTAGATCAAAAGGGCAACAAAATTTACATCTGGAAAAGGCCTCAGGCAAGGTCTGAATGTGCCATAGGCCACGTTTGAGCATGCATTAGAGCCAAATCCTCTGGAAGATTTCCTCCCCTCCATGTATATCCTGGCTGTACTTAAACCCAGCCTCCTCAAGAGCTTGGGTGACTGCCACAGACATTTTTGTTGGAAAGTTTTCGGGGGATGAGAGGAGAGTTTTGCGGCTGCTTTCTAATGCTGTGGAACCAGTCCTGGTGATTTGTGAGGTTTTTCTTTCAGGAGGATTTTGAAGGAGGTTTTATGCTCTGTGGCAGGCCAATGTTTTGTGTTTGTCCTCCCTGCAAACGCTGGGGCCTCTGTCCCTTTCTGATACCCAAAAATGTTCCTGTACTTTAGTATACTTCTCATATTTTGTGCCTTGCTCTCTATCCACGGATGCATGTAAAGCTGCAAAAGTATGGATGTTACTTTAGGTCAAAATCCATCTGCAAAACCATCTTTTTACATTTCCTCCCTTTTAACCTGTCACACGATGTCTGTAGTTCAGGCTCCTATTTGTGCATTTTCAGCAGAAAACATTGAAAAATATGTGATGCAGCTTGCAGAGATCTCTGGTGCAAAGCTCTTGGGGTATTCACATTCACAAAGAGTAAATGGTTCAAGTTTTGAACTGGATACTGTTGTCCCTGATTTGGAGGTGACTGCCTGTGGGTTTCAGGGGACGTATTTTTGAGTGGATACCTGTAATAATTTGAAGTATAACAGCATTTAGCCAGAGTGCAGGTAAAATAGAAGAAATATCAATCAAAACTTGTGGGATTGTTGCCAATTTATGGATACAGAATAGACAAAACCGAAAATGTAAGATCTGTCATGAATTTAGTTCAACGATGAGACCAAGCAGTTGGGTTTTTCAGCTCAGAGCTGCGAGCAGAAAGATTTTGTTGCCTGGAGTGTTTTCAAGCTTTCTCAGAGTTCACTTCTAGAAGGACTTCTAGGGAAATGAACTTTTAATTTTTTCATGAAACAAGCTCAGACAGATTCAGTACAGGTTCAGTAAGCTGCATACCTCCTCACAGTGAGTTAATTCCACTTCACTATAAAGTGTTTGTGCTTATTCTTTAAAAGGGCAGCTGAAATATGCTACCAAGATTAGCACTGAGGAACTTGCAAAGCTTTTCTTTGTGATCTTTGAGTTCTGAAGTAAATATGTCAGGCATGAGGAAAAAAATGTTTTAAAGTAATTATAGAGATGGGCCATGAATTGTGATGCAGACTTGGAATTTATTGACACCAGACCGCAAATTTCAGAATGCTCAAATTTGGCCTTTGAGCAATTACAGAAGGAAGGCGTCTCACATTTTCAAATACACATTTATATATGTACAGGTTTAATTTTCTTTATTTTCCCTCTTCAAAGGCACAGAAGAGTACATCTGGAAATCTAGCTGAGGTCCTCCTATAACCCCTCTGTTAAAAAGTCCATGAAAAGTAATACTTTTAATTCTGAGCAGATGACTTTGTTAGTCATGTTGTTTGTTGAGACAAGAATATTAGAAGGCTTGTACCTGAATACCACAACTAAAGTGGCAAAAGCCTTCATACAGTTGACACGGCTTTTGTTCTGAAGTATGACAGGTTTTGATAGCAATAAAATAGTCCTGTGAGCAATACTGTAGAGTTGCCCCCCTATTTTTTTTAAGGCTGACGAGATGATGATTTGATTTATACAAACACATGCCACATGCATATATATAAATGTATATGCAAGAATTTAAGAACAGCCCTCCCCTGTTCTACGCATCTTTACAGAGCCACTTTTCTCAGAATTGTCTGCTAAATGGAACTGGACAGTGCCCTGTTTTTAGCTAACTCTGTGGAAACTACAGCAGTGTTGGTCTTAGCAGATGTTATTTGCACACTCATTTCCACACTGTTTTTCTGCTCTGCATATCTCTATCTCTGGCCCATTGGGTTGCCATGATGCCATCAGCCTTTTTTTTAGTCAGTTCAGGTAATAGGTTTTAGCATTAATTCTTTTCTTTCCTCTCATCAGATGATTTAGCTGCTCTGCAAATGACAAGATTTGTAAACCAGGAGTTGTTTGCAAGTATATTCAGATATTTTTGATACCATCCCCGTGTCCTTATGCGCTGTCAAGTTCTCCGAGCTGCGTTCTTGTTACACCTAGGGGGAAAAAATTTAGAGGTTTAATTTTACATGTTTTATTTCTTTTATTTCTCCTGCCTGTTCACAATGATTCATTAATAATTCATGAAAAAAACCCTATGAACTGGCAGCATGGAACAAAACGTAGGCAATGTAGCCTTTCTTTGTAAAGGGACATTTGTTGAGCCCTTGCAGTGCTGTGTTCAATTCTATAATGCTTGTTACAGAGTAAGTGCTTTCTAGCTTAACCCTTCCAAGCAGAATTCCTAATCAGTGAAGTAACAAATTAATGATCACATTCCTTTTGGTTTTTTATGTGCACTAGATGGGAAGAATATACAAAATACAGAAGACTATCTGCAAAATATCTTTATATTTTTCCTCTGTGTGTCCTTCTTAAGTAAGACCACGTGGATAAAAAGCCGAAGTGGAGTTAAAAAAGGAGATTCACTAGCAGCTTAAGGGGACAAGAATTTGATGTGTAAATGAACGCTCATATGAGGAATGTTTTTGACAACCATTTTCTGTTGTTCACACAGACTTTGAATGGTGACTACCGTGAGAAGAAAATTTTATTTTTTTTCCCTTGCATTTCCTTCCATTAGGAAATATGGGTTATTTTCTAACTATTTCCAAATTCTAACCAAATTCCCTTTCAAAAATAAAGAAAAAATACTTTTTTTTTGCACAATTGCAGACAACCATCGACTCCTCCTCCCCTTTTCCAACTAATCATCTGAGTGTCTATATTGTATGTAGACATTTATGATGCATCAGCTATTCTGGCAAAAAATAGAGGATATTTTTAGGTGGCATGAATGGAAGATGCAAGTTCTTAAAAATACTTAAAATGTGTATTCTGCTAAAGGTATTTACTTTCTCCATGTGCGTGTTAAACTCGTAAGCATGTTGTTGACTTTTCACTCTTCTGCTGTCTTTGGTCAACAGATAAATTTAAGTTTCACAGCTGATTTTTTGTGGTGTTAAGAGAACAATTTATGCTATTCTAGAGTCTGTGAGAAGATGAAATTTTGCAGATTTTTCTGATTTGTGATGTTATCGAAGGTAATATTTTGAGACTGGGACTGAATTGTTTTTCTTAATTAACTTAAGCTCTGGTCCTTTAAGTATATAATATTTTTAACTTTTAAAGTATGACAGTCCAAAGCAGGTTTTTTTTTTTCAGAAAAGCAATGAAAACATTTATCCCCACTCTGTCCTTTGATTTATAACTTCAACTATAACAGATAAAATGTGCAGGCAAATGAAAATCTTGGTTTGCAGTTCTTCGATCCATTCACCCAAACGCACAAGCCTTGGAAAACAGCAAAATGCTTGTGTTCAACCCCAAACAGTGGGTGCATCCATCTTTGTGGAAGTTAGACTTTTTTCAGTCCTTTGCCAATATAACTATGAAAAATAGAAGTAGAAACCAACTAGTTTCTCAGCCTCAGAGGTCACAAGCACTGGTGTGTGCAAGTTCTGCTTAAGTCATAGAAGCCACCTCAATTTTTGAGCCATGTAGATTGGAAATATTTAACGTCCTACAAGTTCCCTAGGAATAAACCATCAGCCTTTGGAAGCCCATTGTGTATTTTGTTCTCAATCCTTTGTTATATATCTGTTAAGTCTTACAAGAACAGCCGCTCTGGAGTTGTCCCTCATTCTGTGCTTTTGGTATATGGCAGTATGTTAAACATGTGCTTGTGGAGCCTGATGAAATGCTTGTGCTATCTGGCCTGTTTCTTTTGTGAGATCTATCTGTAGTGAAAACTCCACCTTTTATCCTGACTCTTTCTGAGTAGCAAACCATTCTTTTCTGTTTGTTGTCTTTTTTTAAGTGAAGGAGAATCCATAGTGATAGCACAACTCTCTGAAAACTCAGATAACGCGGAGGTGAAATGTATACCGAATTAGAATTCAATAGAAGCTGACAGGGGAAAAAACTGGAAAATTTTCAACAAATGATAGAATAAACAGCAGCAGAACACACTGAATAAGGCTAGAGGGTGGCCAGTTGTCAATACCTGTGGGCTATTTTGTTTTGTTTGGTTTTCTTAGGAAATCTCACAGTATATGATTTATCTACAATTCAAGCTGCTGTCTTAGGTGAAAATCTTAACTTTCACCACAAATAAACTTTTCTAGTTTCCTGGTAACGTTTTCTGGCTTGCAAGTTAACATTGA